AGTTTATAGCAGAGTAATCGAAATGATCATGCCTTTAAAGGCCAGGGTAGTTCAATTGCCAGAGCCTCGATATTGCAATCGAAGCATCGTGGTTTAGAATTCTGACTAGAATAGTTTGTCTCTTATCCTTCTCAGGTAAGCAAAGGAGTATGATTATGTTGTTGAGATACATTGGGTCATGAACCTCTAGTAATTGCCTTCCAAAACCTGGCTGATAGCGTCGTGATACAGGTCTCGGCCACGTCAAGGGCTATAGGAAATAAGGTGTACAAGTCATAAAAATGTGCTGGAGATCGACAACTAAATGGCTACAAAACTGACCTTTTCAGATAGTTCAGCACGTCTGTCATTATGGTACCACGTCGAAAGCCATGGCTGAATACCGATACCATTGCGCCTAATCCGTTTTCCGTTCAAGTATATGCTTCCTTGTTGTACAGAACGAGCTCAGATGACATCGACATACAAAATATCGCTTAATTCAGTGCCAGTCTTAGACCAGTACTAGAGTAATACAAATACAGTACTAAATTCTGAAATGGGATGTTGATTCCTTGCTTCAGACGATAACTGTTTTTTTCAATTCACGGTTCAGGACAAACCAAGAGATATGGTTGACGACGTTAAACATTTTACGCTGAAAAGTGAGATTTATTGCTGATCATAATCAGGCAGTAGAATATTTAGTTGAAGTGATTTTAATTCTAACGCATTTCGATGTCAGCACCAGGGTGATTCGCACGGTACAACAAACGAGTCATTTATTAGGTCTATTGGTACATACATATCTTTCTACGTAACAAGGTCAATTAGTCTTAGGCATTCTGTGAACGATAAGACTTATGACATTTCGGTTATCACTCAATTTGCATGAGTTCATATATTCGTTGCAACGGTGATATTTGTTGACCCATATGCGCAACGATTTCTTGGACGTTTGGAGAGACGGTAACATATAAACCAACAAAAGTCAACTCTGATAGTAATGTACGAGCTCATAAGAATTGAATACGAGATGAATGTCGTCGAATAGATCGTTCCGAAAGTGCCCGGCGATGATGGCATGCCATAGCAAAGCGCCTTCGAAATAAACGAGGCTTCAACTGATCAATAAAATTGATATTGGAGGAGATATGCGTTATTTGACTTACTCCGGCGTACGAACAACTTGCGATGTTTATACGGTGGTACATGGGGAGCATCAGCTCTTGGAAAGAGGTTCGTGATGACCACGAGGTGACTCTAACAGAAAAATGATGCGGGATGCATCTGGACCTGCAGGTGCTTAAATAACGTGGAACCGTCACCTGCTAAAATAATCCCGTATGCAACAATGAGCAATGGGCGGTGC